CAAACACATGGAAATGGACTAGAGAACTGGCTAATATGCAAGCGGAATGGACAGGAACAGAAAATGCAGAGAGCATGGGGCCACAGTGCTGGGAAACCCGAGTGCCCTGAGAGGCCACAGGGAGGGACGAAGGACCATCAGGTCTTGGCCTTTCAGCAAAGATCTGACCTAGGATGGCTGCCTTCCCACTCAAGCCTTAGTTTCACACAGCCTCAGGGTATCAGCCACCCAGGAGACCAAAAGAAAAGAGGCTTGAACAGTAGACACAGGAAAAACAACAGTGACATCACCCACACACAGAACTAACAAGATACACACAGACCAGAGGCTGTTATGCTTCTGAGGACATGAGGCAGAAGTAATATCAAGCAAAGAACAAAATAAAGGCAACACGAGCTCAGGGCTGACTGCCTGGTCCCCACCGCCATGGCTTCACAAGGGGACTATGGCAGCCCTCCAAGACAGCATCCTCACAGCCACATCAGATAAGATCATAGTGGAAAAAGACCAAGGGTAGAATCAAGGGCTTCAGAAAACACGCCGGGAACAGTGGCTCACACCAGCAATCCCAGCATTTTGTGAGGTCAAGGCAGAAGGGTAACTTGAGCCCAGGAATTCAAGACCAGCCTGGGCAACAGTGAGACCCTGTCTCTACAAAAAAAAAAAAAGAAAACTAGCCAGGCGTGGTGGTGCATGCCTGTAGCCCCAGCAGCTGGGGAGGCTGAGGTGGAAGAATGGTTTGAGCCAGGGACATTGAAGCTGTAGTGAGCTGTGACTGTGCCACTGTACTTCAACCTGGACAACAAGTGAGATCTTGTCTAAAAGGAAAGAAAGAAAAAGAACAATGGACAAAGGAATTCCTCCTAGACAGCTGAATCAGGGTCTAGCTGGGAAACTCCTCCCACGTCCACCCCAGCATCATTTCAAAACTGCTGTAGACTGGTGTCTGCCATGTGTCTCCTTTTCTGAAAGGGGAATGGTTACAAAAACCATGGTTACATTTAACCACTGCATTTTGGTGGGGAGAGCAACTACTTTGTCTTCTTAGTCCATAGATCTCTGGACCATGAGGAACCACAGCCAGGCCTGACATAGAGAAGAACTGTGTAATCCTGGGAAATGCTCTGTGTTGCACTGGGCACCTTGACAAAGAGTCCCCCTTGGGGGATCAAGAGTGAAGCAGATATCTGGAAGAGAGACTAAGGCGAGTGCTGCTCCTTTTTCACTAAGCCACTTCCCTTTCCTTCTAGACACAGAACTAAATTGCATTCCTTAGCTTCCGTTGCAATTAGGTGCAGTCATGTGGCTGAGTGACAGACCCATAAATCCCTCCTGCACTGACTCTCTTCTTTCCCCACCCCTGGCTAAATGCAGAGAATTCAGAAGGCCGAGGGAAGAAAACCACAAGATGGAAGAGGTCTCGGCTGCAGCTGGCAGAGAACTGCCCAAAGGAATGGTCTGACTAGGAAGAGCTGCAAAGGAACCTGTGAGCAAGAAACATGCAACTGTTCTATTAGGGTGAATTGCTACAGCACTTAGCCTACATGCACTAATATAAATTGTTTAACTTTTTTTAATTACAAAAGCAATACAATGCAAAACATTTAAACAATGAAGAAATAATAAAGTTTCTTATCCCTACCTCCTCTTCCTGCTGTGCCAACCCTAGGGGATAACAATTGTTATAGGATATCCCCAGGGAAATCCATGAATGCACGTGCACACAACAAGTCTGGGAGGATAAACTAATTTTTTTTAGTGAGATTCTAATGCCTCTAAGACTAGGTAAGCACTTCAAGAAAAAGCTGTGGCAACTGACTGCTAGAGACCACTGCCTTAAAAGATAAGTTGGTAAACACAAGACAGTAATCCCAGACCAACTGGAAGCTGTAGAGATAATACCCCCTCTACTGGTACAGAGCAGTGTGTGTAAACTATAGAAAATTTAGAAATACAAAAAAAAAGATGAATTTTCTTTTACTTGAGAAGTACCACTGATAAAAGCCTGTGTTATTTCCTCTGGGGTTTTTTTCTATGTATATATGAATATTTTTAGAAAATTACTCCCTTAGACCGGGCGCGGTGGCTCAAGCCTGTAATCCCAGCACTTTGGGAGGCCGAGGCCGGTGGATCACGAGGTCAAGAGATCGAGACCATCCTGGTCAACACGGTGAAACCCCGTCTCTACTAAAACTACAAAAAATTAGCTGGGCATGGTGGCGCGTGCCTGTAATCCCAGCTACTCAGGAGGCTGAGGCAGGAGAATTGCCTGAACCCAGGAGGCGGAGGTTGCGGTGAGCCGAGATCGCGCCATTGCACTCCAGCCTGGGTAACAAGAGCAAAACTCCGTCTCAAAAAAAAAAAAAAAGAAAAAAGAAAAAAAAGAAAATTACTCCCTTCTGGTTAAAAAAGACCGAAATTTTTCTTTTAGTGACTAAGCAAACCAGAAACTTGCCTTTTGGCTCGAGTTAGGAAAATCCAGCCTGGTAGTTACCACGCAGGGTGAAAAGCCAGTGGGCATAATTCAGGAGCCCTCGGGTTCCACGCTCCCGCCCTCTGAGCACAGAACGGACGGGAGGTGTGGGAGCCCGGGCATTTCTACAGCCCTCGTTCGTTCCTAAACTACCGAATCTCTTAAAGAGATCCGAGATCTCTTCACACACAGATACTTTAATTAAAATAACCACCTGCGCCCTTTTCCGAACTCCACAGGCGCTCAGTTGTCAAAGAGCTGATCCTGCACCTTGGCGCCACGGCCGCCCGGACGCTCGGGCCCAACTTGAGCTCCAAATTCCCGTGCAGACCCTCGCACCAGGACGGCGTCAGGACTGGGCTTCGGGTGACTAGACAGCGAGCAACGGCTCTGGACCAGAGCGCGCGTCCCCGCCGTTGGGAACGGTCACGGCGGAAACCTCAAATCGCCTCCTTTCAGAGAGATCTCAGCGGAGCCGCGAACGCTCGCGGAGCCCCCGGGCTCCAGCCCTGTAGCCTCAGCACACGCCGCAGAGCAGCAGCTCGGGTTCCTCCCCGACTCCGCGCAGGGAGCAGCCCGCTCGGTGAGGACCCGCCGCAGCCAGCTCACAGAAAAGCAAGCACAGGGCCTGACGCGACGCGCCCCACTCGCTAGCTGCTATGGTTACTAACCCGCGGTTCCTCACGCCCACGCCCCCTTCACTATCTCGCGACAGCTGGCGAGGCCTCGCTTCCCGCCGGCTTACTTCCGGGCCTAGCGTAACTTCCGCCTCCTCCGGCGAGGCTCGGGCCTCAGGTCCGGATGGTCGCGGAGCGGCGCCCTGTGGGGACGGTGGTGAGTCCGGTGGGTGCCGCGCTGCGGGGGAGGGGCTAGCCCCTCCTCTTCTCCCCGGGGCCTCAAACGGGTGGGAAGAGACAGTCTCAGCGGCAGACCAGGCGCCTGAACGCGCCGTGGCCTCACAGGCGCACGGCAGGGACGGGCTCCGGTGTTGAGCGCCTCCTGTGTCCCCACCAGCGCTGACCCACGCTCAGGCCCCAGAGCTGAGCCGCCAGCCATGGCCGCTCCCCGCGGGAGGGCCGTACCCTGGACGACGGCCCTGCTGCTGCTCCTGGCCTCGCAGATCCTATCCCCGGGGAGCTGCGCGGACGAGGAGGAGGTTCCCGAGGAGTGGGTGCTCCTGCACGTCGTCCAGGGCCAGATAGGCGCCGGGAACTACAGCTACCTGCGGCTGAACCACGAGGGCAAGATCGTCCTCAGGATGCGCAGCCTCAAGGGCGACGCGGACCTCTACGTCTCCGCCAGCAGCTTGCACCCCAGCTTCGACGACTACGAGCTGCAGTCGGCCACCTGCGGCCCGGATGCCGTGTCAATCCCCGCGCACTTCCGGCGCCCAGTGGGCATCGGCGTCTACGGTCACCCGTCTCACCTGGAGAGCGAGTTCGAGATGAAGGTGTACTATGACGGCACGGTCGAGCAGCACCCGTTCGACGAGGCCGCCTACCCCGCCGACGGCGCAGATGCCGGGCAGAAGCACGCTCGTGCGCCAGAAGATGCCTCGCAAGAGGAGGAATCTGTTCTCTGGACGATATTAATTAGCATTTTGAAACTAGTACTTGAAATTCTCTTTTGAGTTCTTAACCACGCCCTGGAGTATAAAACTCTCCATCTGTGAAGCTGATTGCAGTTTGCCGTGAACCTTGCTACTTGTACTTGGTTGAAGTTGTAGTTATCTTTTTTAGTCAAGGGATGGAAAAATAAAGCCATACGCATTTTGTTACCTCAGTTACCCCCAAAATAGGAAAAGCAGCAAGCACAGTATTTGTTTTCTTTTAAAGATCAAAATTCCTATATTAAAGGACCGTGTACCATAAAATGTTTAGACACTGTTTTCATTAGGTTGACTAAAAATGGTAACTGCAGTCACTTAGGTTTATATAAATCGAAATAGAGCAACCTTTCATGCTGTTATATGGATGAGATTAAAAGGTTGGTAACTTTATAATTTTACTCTGGAGATTGTAAGCGAAGTTCAAGGTGTTACAGTTACTAAAATCAAGTTGGAAATGATTTATGTACACTTCCCTGAGCCTGGACTAAAGCCCCCATGCCTGTACACGAAGTACGGATGGTACTTTTCTATACAAAAGGGATTTCCTGGCTGGCAGGTATTTACAAACTTTGTTCCTGTACCAGTCCAAGTAATGACAACTCTAAATCAAGCTGCACCAGATCTTATTAGGTTATTTGTCAATTTGGGGCTATGAATGAAAATTCTTTAGTTATTAAATAACTTTGTTAATGCTACCTATGGTAGGCCAGAAACAATGTAGATTAGGAAGTTTCATAAAAATAACTTTTTGGACTATGGAGAAAGTTAAGTAACTTAAGTTCCTAAATATTTCCACTGAATTTTTGGAGTGAGCCAATGTTACTATAAAATACTTCAGAAGATGAATTCTGTACCTGGAATCAGTTTCAAGCGTAAGAGTAGCTTTTAACAGAAATAAATCAAATGCAGATTTTAAGCTCATAGTTAATTTCCAAAAAAAAAATCTTTTATTAGCATAAAAATGAAAATGTTGTAAATAAATTGGCACCAAATACTCCACTTAGATGCATATACAATATTAGGGTCAAAAACTATTTTATCCCTCTTTGCTGTTTTTCCCCCTTCTGCCCACTTTCTTGGGTGTTGGGGGGGCCCGCTGACAACAGTCACAAATCCAGCGACCTAGGAAAAAAATTGTTGGTTAATACAGAATGAAAAGTAATTTTTATGGGACTGGTTTTTAAGCCTATTTTAACTCTTATTCCTTAGCTATCACTAATGAGATTCCTCTGTGGATTTTGTGGTGAGAAGGACACTGAGTTCCTTAATTTAAGGAGAAAAATGTAAACAATGTTATCAATGCTGTGCAAAATTCATTCCAAATCAAGGGGAATGGGAGAGATGCAATGCCATACAGTGATATGGACCTTTAAAAAATAATAAATCTGTCCTGAAATTTAAACATTCATACTTCAGAAGTTCAATACAAATGATACAAAACCCATTCCGGAATTTGGCTTTTTAAAGCCTTTTTCTCTCCTGTTTACTGGCAGCTGTGTGTCTCAGCATTCTTTCAAGTCCTGGTGTACCATGCTGACAGCACTTTAAAACTTCAAGTTTCTAAGAGCACAGTCATAAATTGTAGTACATACTTGATCTGAATTACTACAGAATCTTAAATACGTTGCTTGCTTAATGATTCCCAGGAAACTTCGTTGTAGGCATATATTTTATAGAGCATTATACAGTGTTAACACTATGCAAGTAAGTTCTAAAATTACACAATTATCTGTGTAATATTTTAGTCCAATTACTGTGATTTATTCAATTTTCTTTGTTGTAAAGTCACCTGGAACTGTAATGCTGCCGCGATTTAGATAAATCTATAATAGACTTTCTACAGAAATGTGTAAAGATGTAGCAGTCATTTTATTAAGTTTCTAAATAGATAACATAAAAATAAAGGCTTTGAAACAAGATGATGCTCTGTTACTTTAGTATTTCAGTAAAAGAACACCAGCTCATTCTATATGTAGAACTATACTTCCAAAACTTAGCCTGGGCATTCTGGCCTCTCATTTATCCTTTAGTTGGGTTGTCTTAAGGATGAAAAGCTGGTGGACATGACCTGTAAAATCACAGCTTTGGTCATGTTTGCACATAGAAGTCCACAAGCTCTTCATGTCATGATAGGCTTTATGCATCCTTAAGAAAGGAGTGCCAGGAGAGTCTCATCACCGAAAGATAACGTTTGTTCTTTTTTAAATTTTTACCTGATGGAATAGCACCAAGGCCCACACAAAAAGTATGATAACCTCTGTCACACACATCACAGAACATCATTTCTTCTTCATGGTGGGGTTGTCCGCATATAATGCATGTTTTACATTCCATACACTGCCATGGGTACGTCTTAATCATAGAAACAAGCTCCATTGTCATATCCAGGCAAGAAGGATGGCCTAAATCAAAACCAGTATTAGTAGTATCTCACATAAGAATTTTTAACTTAATATGGCATATAAAATACTAGTTTGCTTTAGGACTTCCAGGGAATGGCTATAATGTTAAATCACCAAAGAGAAATGAAAATACAATGTAGAAGAAAACACATGAACTGCATCTATGCTTCACAAGGTACCCTGCTTATTTGATGATTCTGGTTGAAATCTACCTGAAACTATAAATTCCGGTTTTTGAACCAACAAACATGGTGGTTAAGATTTTAAAAAGATATTTAAATACTTACCACTATTCTCACATTGGGAGCAGTGTATAAGTGATTCAGCCTTTCCTTTCTTGTTGGACTCCTTACCCTTCAGACAAATTCCACATATAGCATTTGGAATGACCTTTGGCTGGAAGGGTAGAAGAGGGCTATAAATTCATGCCAGAAGAGCTTACTAAGGGTTCAAAAGGAATTCTGTTACTTTATTGCCCTATTTTTACTTTTGGTAACTTGCTAATGAGGACCATTTTGAAAGACAAAGCTTGACAGGAGTCTGTCTGCCATGTAAGATTGCAGACTGAAGAAAGCATTCATTTCATTGTCAAATTTTGTAAACAGCATGATCTCTTATATTAAATGTAGCATTCTACACTCCCTACATGCACAGTAAGATCTGTTTAAGGAACAGAAGGATAGACTTAAATATAATGTAAAATGTCACTATTAATTGGACAAGAAAATCCAATTACCAATAAATTTAAGACTTAACTCTAAAGAGAAAACCATTTTAAATAGCTAGCTTATGTATTGTTTAAAAACTGATATTTTCCAGAGCTGTAAAACTGGATCTATAAAATCTAAGTTAAAAAATCAGTTTATCCTCATTGGTATCATGGTATATTTTTAAAAATCACTTTAAACATTTTTAATTGAAAGATGTCTCGTGCATACATTGCCATGTACATAAATGTTTGTGGAAAACTCAGTTGTGTGATTCTCTTTGTATGTCTAATAAAAGAATCTATACTTAAAAGGATTCACTATAAAATGTAAAATTATAAAAGGGAAAAGTAAGTTTTCAGACAAGCAAAAAAAAATTGCAGTCACTTAAAAAATACATAAACATTCTGAGTACTACTCATCTTTCAGATTAAAAACACGCATGGTCCAGTGAAGGTGTTTGGGTTTTCGACATATTTGGCAACACATGGAAATGACAAAGGAAAAAGGGTTCACTGCACTTAAAATTACCAGGGAAGGGAGGACATCCGAACGTCACAGCCTTGACTGTTACAAATGACGTTCACTCATGCTATAGGAGTAAGTAAATAACAATGGTAAAAAAGGAAGAGCAAACATGGGCCAAGAATAAAATGGGGGAAAGGGGCGGGCATACACATATATACACATACACACACATACACACACACACACACACACACACACACACACACACGCACACGCACGAACTGGGACAATAAATATTTTAAATAGAATTGTTTCATTGCTGTTTTATTCCCACTCTGCCAAATGCATCCCCTTTCCTAATTTACTGAACCAAAGAATCTAAACAAAACTCAAACTTTGTATATATTCCAGCTTTGAAATGTCTCACTGCCACCTTCATTACCTGTTAGGCCTAAACAATTTGTTCTTAATTCTTTTAAGTTTTGTACTTTTTAGATTATCTTTCTTTGCAAAAGATGACAGAGGCATTCAAAAAGAATTTTTGGCTTATTTATTTAAAAAAAAGTCAACCTTATACATAAATATAATAAAAACAAGAACTCTAAACAATCACAAATGTCTCTACAAAATAATAAATATCATGGAAGTTAAACATACATATAAAACTTTACTATTAAACTAATCTCCTGTATGTATATTTTTATACCCTGCTCCCCCCAACAAAAGGATAGTGTCACATGCTTAAACCATTTAAGTCTTGCAGTGTAGTTACCCTCTGTTGTTACTGCTACATTCTAAGCATAAGGTTCTCATTGTGTGTTCCTATACCTAAATAATAAACAGCTAGGAAGTGCACTTCTATAATCCAAATTCTGGTTCAGTTATGATAATATCTGTACCTGCCATAATATACAGCAGAATGGTATCTCTTCATCAAAACTAAGAAATCTTTTTTGGTTATGGTACCTAAACTAAATGTAAAAGATATACTTATTTAATACTCAGTTTAAGTTAGATACTGGCATATTTAAGTACTCTAATATCTTCCACTAAAGTCAGGGAAATAACCAAACAATATTAAATTCTAAAAACAGAACTCCTCATAGGAGATTCTTTACAAAACCAAACCCAAAAGGAATAAAACACAAGGGTAGTCATTCACATTCTAGAGCAATTCAAGTTCTACAATCATTAAAATACACATTAAACATCTATGATAAAAGGGACACCAAAAAATTCTAGGTTTATTTCTAAGTTTAAATCATAATGCTTTGTCAAATCACTTAGTTTTTCTTACCCAACAGTCTTCATCTGAGTGAAAAGAGGAAAAGATGAGAGAAGGGGAAGAGAGAAGGTTTGTAGCATTTTCTATGATGAATGCTGCAGCTCAATATACAAAGTATCTGCCCTCACTAAGAAGCTACAGTGCTGCCATCCAGGGCTTTACACAGAAGATAACAACCGTGGCTTAGAGAAGCCAGTTGCAATAAATTGCACAGTTGAAGAAGGGGTTAAGGGAACAATGTGTAGCACTCTCCCGAAGGCCAATGGAACACAGCCCTTTGTGTGTCTGGTTAAGACGATCAGTTCTACTTCAAATAACTGCAACATCATCAGAGTTTCACTACTGACAAGAAAATTAAAATACGCATCCTAACAGCTCTCAGCATCTCAAAAGGCTCACAGTACACTTACTTTTCTACTTGAAAAACAGCCAAAGATAAGACTTTCATGGTAGCAATAATATAGATTTTAATTATATACTTATAGGCCTGAATCCTAACAATTATGCTTTAAATTTCAGGTTAATGTAACCTAAACAATACTGTCCTACAAATTAAGGGCAAGCACTAGTGAATCTTATTAAGCAAAACATCAGATACATTATTGTTTTTCTTGAATCTCATATTTTACATATATAAAATATGACCTTTAGCTTGAAGTACCCTAATATTTAGGCACATCTGGCTTATTAATACTTTTTATAAAGAGGTTAACTTTTAATAAGCATGTTCACATTAATGTATGATGACTAGATACTGGTTGTTTCCATCTTTGAAATCAACCTGAAACATTTTTAGGTATTAAAAATGTGCACAGATTATGTAAAATATAAATTTTGCATATCCGACTTGAGTACTATTAAGTTCAGTTAATCTATATGATTTCTTGTATACTAAATCAATGACAGTGTTGAATAGTTCTTCATTTCCAGCCTGTATTAAAACAACTATTTCAATATTCTCTCTTTTCAACCCATGATCAATCAAGCTTATTGTTTGAAAGATCTACTTAGCACTCAAGAGTTAACAGGATGGTGTGCTTTTAGTGGCCACTTCCATTTAAAGCTCTTAGCAGACCAATAGAACACACTCATTCATGGAGGCTGTTTCTGAAATTTCATCTTTGGAGCTCACTTGCTTTCAGTTATTAAGCATTAACTTATATATTTAAAGAAAGTAGATAAGCTATATATGTAAAAACAAGTACAACAATCACATCGCTGCAGCCTATTGCAGACACCCTTGGAAGCCAACCCTTGGTGAATAAAGCTTAAAATTTGCTTGCCATAGGCTTAAAAAAAAAAAAAAAATTAAGTTAATTACATGAAAGAATTTTCTAATAAAATATGAAATACATTAATTTAATAGGTCACTTTTACTTGAAGAAAGGAGAATGAACAACATGTTAGAATGTGTTCTAGTTAGTTAGAGGGAAAGCTGACTTACTTCATTCAACCTGTTCTTGTGGATTACTTACCATAATCACAGTTCTGACATACAAGGTGTTTAACAATTTCATTTGGCAAAACTTTCTCATTGCCTTACTCTAAAATTTTCCTTCAATACACCTTCATAAGTGCAATAAAAAGCATGTTCTAAAACATTTCAGACCAAAAGAATCAAAAGGTAATATATTTTACTACCACCATCCCAAACATAAAACTGTACATCTAATTCTTTCTTTTACGATATTCTTAAATCCCTATATGCAAAATAAGCCTACTCACCTCTCACCTCACTTTTCGTCAAAAGAAAAGAGAGGGGCAGAAAGAGGGAGGAAAAGTTCAAAATAATAACAACAGCTGCTGACAACCTACTACTTTACTCTGAGGATAATCAGATCAACAAGTTAACAGGTATGTTTTAATTCTTGTCATGGAATCATACAGGCTCTTTACCAAGGTTACGCTAAAAATCACTACAATGTAAATAACAGGTTTTATTATTTTCTATCCCAGAGTTAGCTAAATTTAGCAGATGGATCAAATAACCCTTAGATTAAACCCAGATCTTTCTTAATGAAAGGCACTACAAAAATGCAACTTCATCTAACAGTATATCCACTCATACTTCATAGCTCAGCAGGTTTAGCTACACTAAATGCTGGGGCACTTAAAATGCCAAATAATTATGATCTTTACTCCAAGGAAATAAAAGTATAAACTTCTGCCTATGAAATAATGTTTTAAAAACCCATACTTATTTAAAAAAAAAAAAAAAGACTTATAAATTGTACATATACAGAAAACGGATGCTAAACCATAGCCAAAAGTGACAGAAAAGCCACCAAGGAAATAAAGCAAAAAAGAAAGCAGTGGACAGAGGGCACACCATAGAAGAACAGCTAGTGAAGTACAGCAGGCAGAAGCTCCACAATCGTGAAAGTCAAGTTAAAGTATTTCAGGGAGAGAGGCTGGTCAGTAAAGAGGCTGAGTCAGGGGCTTTTTTCTTCTACCTTGTACCCAGGAACTGACTTGGACAGTACAGAACGTTTGGGACCATCTTTTCTTGGAGTGGCAGCTTTGTCTTTTGATTTCTGTCTTCCCTGGAAAGAGTCCTCCTGGCTGTCAGGAGGGCTTTCCCCTTCAGATACATTGCCAGAGGAGCTGTCCTGGAGTTTAAAAGGCAAAAACAAAGATTCTTTGGAATTAAGACAAATTTGAGTCTGAATTTTGAAAACTATGGAAAATACTCAAAAAAAAAGTTTTAAGCCTTTATCAATTTAAAAATTAAAAAATCATTCTAAATAAGAGAAAGCTTTTTCCAGTGGAAACTAAAGTAAGCCATGTTAAAAATCATCCATCCTTCTAACTATAATATCATATAAAACTGATTTCACATATATCAGTGCCTTCATCATTTTGTTTTCTGATGTAAGTCACAAAAAATGGAATTATCTGCTTTAGCTATTATTACACCACACAGCTTCAACATTATTTTCCATGTCACAAGGAAGCATATTTGTTTCATACAAAAACACATTGTTAAAAATAAGTGTGGGTATTTTCATTGAGTACTAAAAATCATCAGAAGGTACTTCAGGAAAAATAAAGGGCTATAGTTAAAAAAAAAAAAAAAAAAAAAAGTCCTTCTAAGCACACATTTGTGTTTCCATAATGCTCAACTATGCAGAGCCAATCCCTCAACTACCTACAACAGGATCTGAAATATTTTACATATTCAAGGTTTAAGACCTCAATATCTGACCATTTAATCCTTCATTTTATAATTTAAAATTTTCTAATTAGAACTTTCATATGAATTATGAAAATTATAAATGAAAACATTAAAGTTATCTAGAACCTCCCTGATAAACATACACTGACTAAATACATGAATTTATCTACTTTATCTTTTTTCTGGGTGTCCTTTATATAAATAAAGATACCAAGACTCACACATACCCCCTACCTCACTGTGCCCTCTTTTTTTAAAACACAAAACTGGATTACAATGTGTGTGTATGCATGTGTGTATTTTGGTATTTTTTTAAAAGCATTATGGGCATTTTCTCACAACCATTAATATTCTTTGAACTGCATTTCTATACTATAAAAACAATATAATATTACCCACTGCGGGCATTAAAATTTATTTGTAATTTCCAGCATAAAAATTACTGTAAACACTCAAACAGAACTTTTTTTCTAATTAAATTTTTTCAGCATCTAAGTCCTAAGGATAAATTCTATTAGTGGATTTGCTAGGTCAAATTCTGTGGAACTTAAATTGGTAAGACTGTCCAAATGCTTTCCCATAATGTTGGATTAGTTTACACTTTTCCTAGTGGTATGAAAGGAAGTCAGCTTCATCACCCTTAGTATGCCATAGCTCCCTTTTTAGCAACATGACAAGAGGAAATTTGTATCACCACTTTGATACTTGAACAGCATCTTATTCTGCATAATATATATTATTAAAGATGTTTTAGAAGCTGTTGGTGACAAGGAAATATAATGTCCCTTCAATCTCACATTTAGGTTGGCTACAATGAAAAGTTTAAAATAGCCAGTTACTTAAAACACAGTACTAGAGAAATTCAAAGCCCTGTGGCATCACTGGGATCAAAACCCTAGATCATCATTGAAATTTTGTTCTCCTTTAGGTCCACAGAATACACCAGCTTCCCACTGTCTTGCAACTGCATTTGCTACCAAAAAAAAGGCATACAGCAAAACCCAACAAATTGCACAATATATTACTAACATAATATTTTCCCATAGGAAGCCTAAGATTGAGCAAAAGAAACATAAGTTAATGCACTCCCCTAAACTAAGAAAAAACTACATTTCTGTATCAAGAGATCAAAGTCTGTTTTGTTCAATATTTTAAGTTAAAGAGACAGAAAGCTGAATAAACAATTGTAAGCTAATTTTCCATATCCTTGCCTAACCTGCTCATGGTAACTACAAAGGAGTGATTTTAAGTATAAAGCTTACCAAAGGCCATGCACTGCTTGTTTTTATCAAAACACACTATAAATAACTTTTCTTGATGAATACTTTCTGGAAATTATATGTAACTGTCCTTTTTCAAAGAGAGAATGATGACACAAGTTCAATTTAACATTCTAGGAAAGCAATTAGCAAAAATTCAAAGAGAAAGGAAATGCTTCCTACTAGACAGAAATGTTCTCACCGAAGTGCCTTTATTTTTCTGCTTCTCATCACCTTGACCATCTTCACCATCATCTGAATCACCGTCACTGTCTAGAGCAGGGAGTTCAGGATCCAGAGGGGGCTCATACAGGGCTGTGTTTAATGGCAGATACCGCAACTCATCTGGTGAGTACCTGAAGTTCAGAGAGTTTATTTTCAGTTACTCTTTATTATTAAATATGAATAGACTCATCTTTGAGCTATGAAGATAGCCTTAAACTTCTCGAGTAACCCCAAAGACTTTTGAAAAATAGAGTATTAATTTTTCATTTTTGTCATCAAGTAGGGGTAATTAATAAGAAGCCTGAATGTCTTTTCATTAGACTTATAAAAATATGCATTTGATTTTAATTCTTACTAAGAGATAATGTGTCTCTCCTCTTTGCCCTCAACCCCAAAAAAGAAGAAAAGTAAATAAAATGTCAGTAGCCCCAAGTCTGGCTACCAGATCATATCCACTTCCACCACTGTCCCAGGTCTTTGCCACTTCTGAGCTGTCACTCCGCTTGTAAAACAAGCCTAATAATGGCATCTACTTCATACAATTGATATACAGTATATGCATTTCCAGCAAGCTTGTGAGTGACAATAGTGCTCTGGATCAGAAACAAACTCTGCGCAGTGAGGTGCTACAGAACCCCAGCAACTGTCTGTGACAAACCCAAACAGAATGGACAGACACCCTACTACATATATATCACACCAGTGCATGGTATATGATATTACTTAATATAGAAAGCAAAATTTTTAGTAACAAATTATTATAAACAAATTTGGGAAGCATGTATTCTAATGAATTTAATCATCTATTTTGTCTGAGGCTAGATTGGCAATCTCTTCCCAGACAGCAACACTTAGTGCCACCTCCATTCTTACCCACTGTAGCCCTTATTCAGGAAGTGACCATGGATCAGGACTTCCCCAACTAAGACAACACACCAAAAAGCAAAGGGGTTGGCATACTTGCATATGACTTTTAATAACTTCCTGACACCAAAATAAAATTTTTAAAAATTAAAGGCCAGGTGCAGTGGATCACACCTGTCATCTCAGCATTTTGGGAGACCTAGGTGGGCAGATCACCTGAGGTCAGGAGTTTGAGACCAGGCTGACCAACATGGTGAAAGCCCATCTCTACTAAAAATACAAAAAATTAGCCAGGCATGGTAATCCCAACTACTCAGGAGGCTGAAGCAGGAGAATCACTTGGAGGCAAAGGTTACAGTGAGCCGGTATTACGCCACTGCACTCCAGCCTAGGTAAACTCTATCTCAAAAAAAAAAGAAGCAAAACTTTTTAAATATTTCTGCTTATGACTCAAATTTGAATTTTTTAAAATTTCTGCTCAAGATTTGACTTTCAAATGGCAAGTTATAACACTGTACTTTAAATTCTATTCTCTAAAAATATAGTCTATTCCGAAGAACATATGGTTCCAGAGTAAGGTTTAAGGTTGAAATAAAAGCTGAGACTTTAAAACAAAATGAATCCATTAGCCCTGTTTTTTTCAGTAACATTCAGTTTCGGAATAGGAGGTAAGTAGTATTTAGGGTTCAGATTGACAGCAGCAGCCAGGCCAGGTCAGCAATGTGCCTGTCCCTGCCCCTCTCTTTTCTTGTCTGCAACAAGTCAGTGTTTCTCAAACTCTAACCTGCACATGAATCATGCAGACATCTGTTAAAATGCAGACTGAGTCATAGATCTAGGGTTGGGCCTGAGATTCTGCATTTCCAACTAGCTTCTGAGAAATAATAGTGCTCTGGACCACGGAACATACTCTGAGCACTGAGGTGCTACAGAACCCCCAGCATCTATCTATGACAAATTCAAAGAGAATGGGCAAAGACAGGGGCATCCAGACTTCATCAGCATATGTTCAAATTCTGACTATAGGTTGGTGTTTACCACAGAACCAGAGAAGATAAAGAACAGCAACACAAATCCTATGCGATACGGCGATATCTCTTATGGTGATATCTACAGACCTCAAAATTGTTAGGAGGCAAGTACACAAGGCTCTGAAACCCCTCACCAAGATCCGATACCAACTGTAACTAAAATTTAATACCTCTTATAATATTCCTGGAACTGTCCGGGGATGAGAGCCACTGGGTAAGAACTGACCTTTGTTCGCTCTGTTGGCAAAACTTTGTACTTCCCCTGAGGCACCTGGATAACCTATGTTAACATAAAGAGAAACACAAAATTGATTCCATGCTAAAACTCAGGCTGTAGGAAGAGAGTCCCCAGATGCTCTCCACTGCATGCCCATTTCCCCTCAAAAAAGCTAAAATTTTGGGAGCTATTACCTAAGAGCACAGTTGGTGCTTTCAGTTCTTTCTATATATTATCGTTTTAGAGGCCTACTTTCCATGAGAATAACTGCCGAGGAATGGCAGTGGATCTCTGGCTCACTACTTAACAGCAGAGTGATCTGGGTAGCTTATACAACCTCTCTAGCTCAGTTTCTTTATCTATTAAATGGAGGTAATCCTACTTTCAACCTCACATGATTACTTTGAGAATTAACATGCAAATCTATTTTAAAAACTCTTGGGACACATAGCAAGTATGACATGTCACTATTATTAGTTTCATTTAGTAGAATATCAACTATAAAGCAAAAGACATCTCACAAAAAACGTAAATTGATTATTAAGCACATCATTAAAAATAATATCTCAAGTTCTGAGGAGGAAAAGAACACATAGGTGCCAGCCTGGACAACAGTGGTAAACCCTGTCTCTACTAAAAATATGATAAATTAGCTGGGTGTGGAGGCAGGTGCCTGTAATCCCAGCTACTGGGGAGGCTAAAGCAGGAGAATCCCTTGAACCCAGGAGGCAAAGGTTGCAGTGAGCCAAGATCATGCCACTGCACTCCAGCCTGTGCTATAGAGCGAGACTCTGTCTCAAAAAAAAAAAAAAAAAAAAAGAACACATAGGTGGTCCAAAAAATAATGATCAAGGGGGTAATGGGCACTCTGCAATAACAAGTAAGAAACTAAGTTCGGAGACTACTAAATTTAAGTTATCCTACATGTGTCTGCAAGTCAAAATAAGCTCTTCTTTCTTCCATGCGTTCCCGGTTTAAGTTGCTGTTAAATTCAGCTGCTTTTTTGGCAGCTTTCTTAATATATTCAGGCACTTTACTAGCTTCAACTTTCTGAGTATTCTGTTGTTGCATTTGCTGGGAAAAGAAAAAAAAAAAAACAGTTGGAAGTCACATGTAACTTTATAAAATGTCATTTTCCCCAACCCAAATAAAAAATACTAGTCGCCTCAGTTACTTACAGAATACTCTTTATAATGGTCTGTAATTCGTTGACGTTCTTTTTCTTGTAGAATAACAGAATATTCAGCATGTTTGGCTGGATATTCTTTTATCATTAAATCAATCACCTCATCACTGCGCAATGCTGTTAAACCTATTTTAGACCAAAAAACAAAAAAATAAGCCCTTTTAAAAATAAGTGAACAAAAGCACTCTTCAAAATTTACTTCTTCAAACCGCTCCACATTTTAATGGTTTTTCCAATGGCCAAAGCAAAATATCTTGGTACATTTGAAAATAACTAAACTTAATATTCATAATATAAATCCAAGCAATTAAAAGATTATCTTGCAAAAGGCAAATATATCCATTTTTCAACCAAACAAGTTTATTTTTAAGATTCTATGTGCTTTAAACATATATCCCTTCAGTTAGAAACAATTGTTAAATAATGAAATACACTAACTACTAACAAGTACTACAAAATATTGGATAAGTTAAAAAAAAAAATTCAACGTTATTATACTTCCCAGTCTTCAAATTCCTTAAAACTTCACCGAAAACATCAGCACACACACACACACTCATCATGTAGACAATTCAAAACTCACAGTATCAGATTTCACCAACTGCTGAAATGCATTCCCATGAATTTATATTAAAAAGTAGCCATGCTGCATTAAAATGTTTGTGAAAGTAAAACTACAAATAAAACATGGACATAATTATACAGAACTGAAAATTGAGTAAAATTTGCCATTTTGCATTTTAGAGATGTGGTCTCACCATATTGCCCAGGATGGAGTGCAGTGGCTATTCAGAGATATGATCACAGCACACTACAGCCCCAAACTCCTGTGTTCCAGTGATCCTCCTCCCTCAGCCTCCCAAGTAGCTGGGACTACACGCACACACCACTACACTCAGCAAAGAACCAATACCTTTAAAAATAAAATTGTACAAGCTTTGCACAGAAAATACATTCTGAAAACTCTGTAAAAATTATTAGACAATTATACTGTTTCAGAATACAGGTGATCCTAACGTGCAGTGGGGTTACATCCAATAAACCCACCCTAAGTTGAATCTATTCTGAAAACAAAAAGCATTTAATACACCTAACCTACCCAACATCTTAGCTTACCCTACTCTATCTTAAACATGCTCAGAAAACTTACATTAGCCTACAGCTGGGCAAAATCATTTAACACAAAGCCTATTTTAATATCAAGTGTTGAGTATGTCATGCGATTTGTTAAATATTATACAGAAAGTCAAATGAATGGTTGTATGGACACTCAAAGTATGGTTTCTACTGAATATGCACTGCTTTCACACCATCATGAAGTTGAACCATCATGAGTCAGGAACTATATATGTGTTCAAGCTTCATTCTCCTTTGCATTTTAACAATAATCAAAAATGAAGTAAACAATGTAGCATTTAAATTTTTTATTAACTTTGTAAAATATTTTAGGAAAGAAGATACTTATGCAATATCATCTTGTAAATGTTCAGCTTGAAAAATTCACATTACAAGCTATTCTTACCTAGAGTGCACTGAGTTTCAGTAATGACATTTAGCTCTCTCAGGTAGAGTTTCTCCTTGTGAGACAAATCTCGTCGCTCTAAATCTCCAAAAAAAAAAAAAAAATCAAAAGACTATTAAAAACAGCAAAACATTACGCATTTGTAAAACTTTTAAAAGCTTAAAAAACTTGATTTTTAAAAGTATTCATATTACATTCTCCAAATATTAAAGGGACTACAGAAAAATACTATAAATTCAAGAAATAAAACTCAGTAAGATACAAAAGTTCGAATAAAATCGAAAATAGAATAATCCAAAGCAATAAGGTAATATAAATAACTAGACTAATGAGAAATAGCCTTTCTCAAATTCAGATATGGTTCATATAGCTAATTCTATTCCTTAGATCAAGGGACAATGGTAAAAATCCAAAACTTGTCTATAAAATGATTTTTTTCTAAAATTTTCCCCAGGAAATTCACCTTTCCCATTTTGCTTTTAAAATAGTTTATGAGACATAGAATATATCAATAATGAAGAGAGATGCTGAATAATAATAAATTTAAAACAGCCAGGCATGGTGGCTCACACCTGTAATCCTAGCAATTCAGGAGGCTGAGGCAGGAGGATAGCTTGAAGCCACGAGTTTGAGATCACACTGGGCAACATAGCAAGACTTCATCTCTAAAAAAATAAAAATTAACAAAATTTGCCAGGCGTGGCTGAGGCATGGGGACAGCTAGCCCAGGAGGGCAAGGCTGCAGTGAGCTATGATTGCACCATTGCACTCTAATCTGGGCGACAGAATGAGATCCTTAAGTCTTTTTTTTTTTTTTTTTTTTTTTAAAAAAAAAAAGAGAAAAGAAAAACAGCAAGCACAAGAATATAAAATATATTATAATCTATAGAAAAATTCAGAAGTTGACAGTGTATCATAAAGAATTACTATTAATTATAAATTAATCTATTATATAAACTAGTACCTGGATATTTCCTTTTAAAGGAGGTCACACCCAAATATTCACTGACTTGTTCTTGAAGCATATAGTATTCTCCTGTTTCATCAGGTGGCCATTTGTACTCTATCAAATTTTCTGCTGGATAGTAACTAAAGCTAAGTGCAGAAATACATATTATGTATTAAATTTGGCTTTCATTAACTTTTAATCACTTTTATTGAGGATATTTTGAAAACTATTTTAAGTATTTAAATTATTTGTCTGCTATGACTTGACTTCCTGTATATCAAAGAAAAGGAAGAGAAATAATTATCTGGTCTACCAAGTCAAAAAGGTACAATGAAGATAACATTTTTTTATATATTGGGAAGAACCAAGACTCTAAACTGCTAAGAACAAAGGCATTTTTAGTTTAAGAGACCTATGAGGGCAAAGCAAGGTGATGGTATCAGCTCTGAATTCTTTCTCTTGGGTTAAAAATGCATAGTCAGTATTTCATCTACCCAAGGAATAATCAACTACTTCTGTCTCTTGTCTACTGTTCAGTGAGTCATAAATAGCTAAGAAAACAGAACTCTTAAAAACCTATTTCTCAATGCATCATGCCATAAACCATAAGTATTTGTTCTCAGATACTCCACAAACCCAGAAGCAAAGGATAGACCTAGTTTAAAGGTGCCAGGGTATCACAGTCGATCTCTATCCTGAATAACAGAGTACAGATTTCAGGATCTGGGCCAATTCAACCTCTAAATTAGACACGGGAAAGTGACAATATGTTATGCATCTATCTGTTTAAAAAGCAGCCTTCCAAAAGAACAGTATTCTCAAAAATAGTGCTGGGAAACTGGGTATCCACATGCAAAAGTATAAAATTGGACCTTTTACCTCATATCACAACTCAAAATGGATCAACAACCTAAATATAAGAGCTAATTAGAAAACCCTTAGAAGAAAACATAGAAATCTTCACAAACTTGGATTTGGCAATGGATTCTTAGATATGACACCAAAAGCACAAGCAACAAAAGAAAAAACAGATGAAAAATTTGGGCTTCATCAAAATTAAAAATTTTATACAGGGACACTATCAAGAGAGTGAATAAACCCATAGAATAAAGAAAATATGTGTAAATTATATTTTTGATGAAGTATTAATATATAAAAGAACACTGAACAACAACAACAAAAAACCCAAATGAAAAATGGACAAAGAACTTGAATAGACATGTCTCCAAAGAAGATATACAATGGCCAAGAAGCAGACGAAAAGATGTTCAACACACTACGCATTATGGAAATGCAAATCAAAATCACAATAAAATATCCCTCCACACCTTTTACAATAGCTATTATTTTAAAAAATGAAAAACAAATTGGTGAGAAACATGAAGAAACTAGAAACTTTGTGAATTGCTGGGAGGAATGTAAATTGGTGCAACCCCTATGGAAAACAGTTTGGCAGTTTCTCAAAAAGTTAAACATAGGATTACCATGTAATCCAGCTGCTCCACTCCTACATACATATCCCCAAAAAAACTGAAAACACAAACTCTGACCAATGCTCACTGTAGCATTATTCACCTTAGCCAGAAGGTGGAAACCCAAATGCCCATCAACATCCAAATGGATAAACAAAATGCAGTATATACATAAAATGGAATATTATTCAGTCTTAAAAACAGAACAGGCCAGGCGCGGTGGCTCAAGCCTGTAATCCCAGCACTTTGGGAGGCCGAGGCGGGTGGATCACGAGGTCAAGAGATCGAGACCATCCTGGTGAGCATGGTGAAACCCCGTCTCTACTAAAAATACAAAAAATTAGCTGGGCATGGTGGTGTGTGCCTGTAATCCCAGCTACTCAGGAGGCTGAGGCAGGAGAATTGCCTGAACCCAGGAGGCGGAGGTTGCGGTGAGCCGAGATCGCGCCATTGCACTCCAGCCTGGGTAACAAGAGCGAAACTCCGTCTCAAAAAAAAAAAACAAAAACAACAAAAAAAAAAACCCAGAACAAAATTCTGACATATGCTACAAGGATGAACTTTGAAGATATTAAAAGTTCTAAGAGAAATAAGCCAGCCACAAAAGGACAAATATTTTATGGTTCCACTTATAAGAAGTAACTAAGTAGTCATATTTATTGAAATAGAAAGTAGAATGATGGTTGCAAGGGCCTGGGTAAAAGGCGAAAGTGAAGTTATTGCTTAATGGTTTTAAAGTATAGACAGAGTAGTGAAAACATTTTGGAAATGGATGGTGATAATGGCTGCGCAACACTGCAAATGTTAACTGATGCCAATGAATTGCACTCTTAAAAATTGTTAAAATGATTAATTTTACGTATTATGTTTTACTATCATAAAATTGTTTTTTAATTACACTCAGTAGCAAGACCAATTTTGGTGGCACATTATAAAACAGAAAATATTCTACAATTTTTAATAATTGTCTTTGCCAGAGCTGGGGGAAAGGGAAGAGGATGTTATCACAAAGAGAAACATCACAAAAAATATTAATAACCAGTAAAATGACAGTACCCGAGATCTTGACTTGAAGTTTCACAACTCCTAGAACTATCTCCTGAGCCCATTCGCCTCCTTTTGGATGGCTGGGTCCCATCATTTGAATTATCTTCATTATCGTCCTACACATTTAAAAGATTCAAAAATAACAGAGCAAGAATAAAAGAACAATAAGTCTCAATAACTGAAAGACTGTCTAAGAACAAGTCATACAAGTATTAACTTCATATTACAATTAAAAGGGACCAAGAGTTTGGCATGAGCAAGCCCTGGAATAAAATTTAAAACTGATCTTCAATCCAATCAAAATAAGAGCATTTTCAATTAACCTGTAAATGTAAATCTGCTTTTGCTTTCTCACCAACTGAGGTTAAAATGCTTTCTGCTCTTCATAAACATATAAAATTGCTGCATCACTCTAAGATTAAAGCAAACTCTCCTACCCAAGCTGGGGGGAAAAATGTATGGACCATTTACATTTCTCAATTCAATTTGGCGCCGGTTTATAGGACTATTTTGACTACTTTAGGCATTTATGTCCCTGTGAAAAGGGGACATACAAGACTGAAAACAGGTTACCAATTCTAACTATTCACTTTTCTTCTTATATTGCTATAATTTAGCAAAAGTACACCCTAATAAGGCTCATCAATCTATAATACAGCAACACACAAACCAAGAAGAGGGTTGATGAGGGAGGTGATCTTTTAAGAAGCTTACAGATTTTAACTGCAATCCATTATGTGGCAAGGATATCAAGGTTATAAATTCAACCATTTCACTCAGTAAAAGTATCAGATGTTAGGAAATTGATTTATTTACATATTAGCCAAGGCTTAAGGTCTAAAAAGGATACTTTTTAAAAATGTAATATTGCTTTTAACTCTAATCCAATTTTACTAAATACCATGGTCCTCTTGCTACATATTAAAATGAAAGCAATCCTGCAAAAGAATATAAACCAGCAATATGGTATAGTGGCAAGGCAAGCCAAACCTGGGCAACCTGGGTTCTCAATGGGCACTCACTAGCTGAGGTTATTTTCTGTGAGCATCTTCTAATCTGAAAATTTGAGACTATAATATTGCCTCTATTACATGGCTAATTCAATGATTAAATGAGCTACTATATTAAAAACACAACAAGAACTAGGAAATAATTATCTCTTAAATATTAACGGATGATTATGATAATAAAGTCTCAAATGCTTCTAGCTCCTAGAAATTTACTGGTTCTTTTCCAAATAGTAAAATACATATTCTTTTCCAGACCTTTTAAAATAAGCATTTCATGAAAGAGCTCTGCAGTCTAAATCTACTCTGAAAATTTGCATGTATCACAACCGCAACATTTCATATTCAGTACTTCCAACATAACTCATTTTAAACATTCCATTTTTTTAAATCTTTTTTGTGAACATTTTAAGGATTTTTATATCCTTAAACTTCAGCATATTTCCCTTTAGCTAAAAAACTGAGACACTCAAATATATACAAAAATAAAAAGAAAGTTAAAAATGTAGTGCTCAAAAAAGCTGAGACCACAATTTTATATATAAAGTGTTTTAAATTACTACTATAAATTCTAGGCAAAGGCATTATTATATAAAATGAGCATCTGGGCAGCGGGCCTTTTTCTAGAGGGAGGTAGTAACAGCAATATTGTTCCCAATACATGACGGAATAAGGTAAGAATTTCCTTGCCACCGCGATACTGATACAGAAGCCCGTGTTTTCAAAGACTCTCAGATGTACTAAATCAAAGATGTGCCTTCCAGAGTTACAGGTGGTTTCCACCTACAGATTAGACGAGTTTCTATGCATCACATCCTTCCTAAGGTTCAGGGGTCAAGCATGCACTCGGGGGAGCACTGGCTCAGTGACTCAGTGCCCTCCAGGTGCCGGGACAGGAGTCAAATGCTGGAAGTGCAAGAATGTGCATTCAGAGTGTTACAATCTAGTTACTTCCATTGGCGGGAGCCTTTCAGGAACCTTCAAAATGAGTCTTTCTCTGACGGCACGATGGACTTGCGCGACGGGAAGAGTTCGCAGGCAGGCGCAGCCCCGATAGGCTGCCCGAGGACAGCTTCCCCTGCCAACGCGCACATCGCACACCGTACACCGCACGAAGGCTAGCTGGCCAAGCACTCCAGTTCCCACCGCCTTCTAATTTCAGCTTTCCAATTTCAAGCTTTGAGGTTTTTAAAACATCATTCCTCCCTTCCAACCTTCTGTCACAAACTGCTAGCCTAACTTTAGAACCAAAACGTTTTGATGCGTGACAAGCTACTGCTCATCTCCATTTTCTCCACAAACACCAAGTTCTTTTCACCTCACAGCAGTATAAAGTTAAAAAAAAAAAAAAAAAAGACTTCCGCTGAAAACATCCGGACGCTTGTGTATTAACTTAATTACAGTGAGTTCACTAACTGTGTTGATTTTCCACTTCGTTCGCCAATGTTTTTTGCAGTAAGCTTTCAAACACTTCAGCAAACTATGCACGGAATGAAGGTTGAGCGAACGCGCGCGTCTGCAGGCCCATCCGAGGACACGTCTCCGCCCCGGGCGCGTTCTGTCCCGCAGCTGTCCCGGGAAGAGGCGTCTGGGGGACAACCTCGTCAAACAGGGCCGGCTGCCAACTTCAGGGAAGCCGCGCCGCGTTGCCCGCCCGCACTTGTTGCTCGCTAGGGGCCGTGGGCTCCTCTCCCGGCCCCGCCTCGCCGACCACCGCGGGTCTCAGGAGCAGCGCACAGCCTGTGGCCCACGCCCCCGAGACGCCGGTCGGCCGCCGGTGGGACTGCGCCGAGACCGCCGCGCCCCGGCCCCGGAGGGGGTCAGAGTTGGGGTCGGGTCGCGCCGGCCGCTTCCTCACCTTCGGGGACTGCGCTCCGGGGGTGGCCGGGTCACTTTCGCACGGCCGCGGGGACAGTGCCGCCCCGGGCCCGGCCGCCGCCGCCGCCATCAGCCCGAGCGTCCCGCGCCTCCGCCGCCGCCGTCGCCTCCGCC